TGCCACTGGGTATTGTAAAATAATTTTTTTATATGTTGCACACCGGGTGAAGGATCAGTCGTGTAACATCGACGGTTCATATGCAATTTCATGTAATCGATCATCCCTGTACGTACTTTATTAAAATCCCTGACTGTAATAACGGAATAAATTTTGAACTTTTAGAAATAAAATGAACACTCAAACTCAAGATACAAATCGTGAAGATTGGTTATTATGGCAATTTACTGATTCTGCGTTGCCAACTGGAGGTTTCGTAGCTTCTGCCGGATTGGAATCTGCAACTCAAGCAGGACACGTTACAAATAATGAATCTTTATTATTATTTTTAAGTAGTAGCATTGACAATTATGCTTATAGTTCGTTGCCATTTGTTACCGATACTTGGTGGGCTATCGATATAGAAAGCCCGAACAATGAAAATTTAAAAGATTCTGTGAATGATATAGAAAAAATTATGGAAAAAATTATAAGTTTAGATGATTTATATGACGCTTGTACATCAAACTACGTTACAAAGCGAGCTTCGAAAGCTCAAGGTGTCGCTATGTTAACTTTGTTTGCTAAATCTTTTGCTAATGAAAATAGTAAATCAAACATGAAAGACTTTCTAGTAGAAAAGTTTAAGCTTAGAGTTAGAAAAGAAATTTCATATGGACATTTGCCGATTTGTTTTGGACTGGTTACAAAGTGTCTTGGAATTAGCTTGGGTAATTTGTAATTGTTTTTCTAAATAGCATTCTTTTCTCAATTCTTTTTTAAACATTTTTCAATTTAACTATTCTTATTTTCTCGTGCAATTTTATCAGCAGCTGTTCGATTAAACATTATTGGCCCATATTACTCTCAAAGACTGTTAACAGAATGCCAAGTGTATGTTGAAAAGTCTTTAGAAAAAACCTGTAAATTGAACAGTAAAGCTGCTGTACAAACATCACCATTGTTAGATATCTTGCAAGGAAGACATGATAAATTGTATTCTAGGTTGTTTAATAGTTAATTAAATTACTGTATAATAGTTAATAATTAAATTATAATATACAGTATAGTTAATAATTAAATTATAATATATAATATACAGTT